TGATTCATTTCTGTACTTGATTCATGAGTATTATATATTATATATTGTATCTATACATATGTATACGTCAATATATTTTACTTCGGATCAAGTATTTTGAACATGATTTTTCATTGTCTTTGAAACAAGAAATAAATATTAAACCATTGAAGAAATATCAGACATATCAGAAGATAGAGCAAAAAAAAAATAAATTTTTATTCAATAATATAAAATAAGATTGTATTAGGCATTTACTTAATATATCTTCAATAGTTCTAATAAGATATTGGAAGGGATATAAAAACAATTTGATTTAAATTTGATAATATTTACGCATATTAATGAATATTGATGAGATGCTCTTGTTGAAATAGAGATGAGTATTTAAAATCATAGAGACTTACCTGGTGGTAGGCCCATGGGGGGCGGTCGCATCATGTTACCTCCATGAATCAGAGCTGGTGCGGCTAGAGTCATAGTGGGCCGCATAAGCGGAGCCATTAATGCAACAGAACTAACAGGCATCGCTGCAGATGCAGGAACCATTACTGCTTGTGGAGGTCTCTGAAATCTTTGTTGTTGTTGTTGAAGTGCATTTAAAGCCGCTTGTTGTCGCTGCTGTTGATCCTGAAATGCAGCAGCTGCATTAGCAGCAGCAGCTTGTTGCTGCTGCTGTTGCTGTTGTTGTTGTTGCTGTAATACAGCAGCTTGCTGATTGGCATCAGCAGTTTGTACAGTTCGAGTTTCTTCAGTTTGACGACGCTGATATTTTGGAAGTCTTGCTCTAATTTCCTCCTGAAGTATATAAATTTGTTTTTAATTTCTATATCTATTACTAATACATAAATAAAAAAAAATTAACCTACTAAGCTAAGATCTTCTGGAGGATGAATGATTTTAATGGCAGCACTAGTAGTGGCTATAAGATTTACTTTCTGATCATTTCCAATATTATTATTAGTCGTAGTATTGCTATCTGCATTACTATATGCAGGGAATGTTGGCTTAACAGGTCCTATAGATCCACCAGCCACTGATGTAATTGGTTTAAAATCTGTGCCTAAAGGAGAAGTCACAGATGTAGATGCAGCTGTCGAAACAGCTGCAGCACTTGGAAATAATGGTCGTGTTGGCGGTATGGATGCACCTGACACTGGTGGTTGTATACCTGGTGGCATACCTGGCATTCCAGGCATCATACTATAAAAAGAAAAAAGAAAAAGAATTTATTCCTATATTTTTTCTATTATTTTTATATTTTTTTTAAAACATTTACAAATTTAAAAACATTAGATTGTATTTACCTAACTTGCATTAAATTAATATCAGATATTTAACTCTTCTTTTGCGTTGTCTGGTTTTAAAAGAATAAATTATACATACCCAGGACCCATGAAAGGTGGACCTACGGGACCCATAGGTCCCATCATATGATGCATGGGTGGTGGGAACTGTCCCATTGGTGGCATACCAGGATGAGCTGCCATACCTGGCATTACACCTGGCATCATGTTGGAACCTGTAGGCATTGCTCCTGGTGCAGAACCTAATAAACCTTCTGGCTTTGTTTTTTTCCGAACTGGTTCATCTTCACCTGAACTTGGTGAACCAGGTCTACCACCATTTCTTTGCCTTTCATGCTCTTTTGCATCATTTGGTGGTATACCTTCCATACCATAAATTTCTATTTCAATATTGCTTCGATTTGGCAAAGAATTAGGTACCTTATCTATTGCTTCTTTATGTACCTAAAATATGAAGATAACAATTTTTTGATATCTTTATATATGGGACAATTTATTCAAATTTATATAATATAATATAATATAAAAATTTATTAATATTACCTGCATACAATGTATACTAAGTCCTGGTCCCGTATAAAGCTTTTTATGACAAATGTGACATTTAAAATGTTTTGCTTTTTGATGTTGTATAAGAATTTTTTCATCTTCAAACTCCCGATTACAATACCTTAATAAACTAATTAAGGACAATATAAATATAAATGTTACATAATAATTTAAACAATATATTTCATTAATAATTTAAAATTATATTAAAAATATAAATTTATATTATTTATTCAATCATTTATGATTTATCATAATTATGAAAATAATAATATATTTCATATAAATATCAAATAAATAATGATTATAACACTTAATAATCTGATAATAAAATTAAGAAATATTTAAATTAATTTTATAAAATTTTAAATTCTTTAACAAACAAATTTATTTATGTATTATAATTATAATAAATTATTTATCAAATAAAAATTTTATTATCTTAGAAATTCTTTCTTTTAAAATTTAGAAAAAGTTTGAATCAATATTTAAAGTAGTTTTAATAAAAAAACTATAGTTTATAATATTATTAGTTTACAAAAATTTCCATAAATGAAAATAATTAATTCTTATCATAAATGAAAATAATCTCTTTTATCTTTAAATTTTTATTAATATTAATCTTTTAAATATATATATTTAAATTGTATTTCAATAGTAATTTTTATTTTTTTATTTCATTAAATCATGTATTTTATATATATGTATATATAAATATTTCATAATAAGTAAATAATAATTCAATCAAAATAGTAAAAAGTAATTATCAGAACTTATCTTAGAATTTGATTTATTAATACAAAATTATATAATCTACTCTTTATTTCGTAAATAAATACCTTTAATGAAAAAAATGTAGCCGAATATAGTTGCTAACGAAATATCGATTTCTCACGGATTCAGCCACTTTAACTCGTCATACACTTTTACTTAACGTGTTAAAAATGTTTTACCCGTTGCAATAAGAAACTTTTAAATTGTAAACTAAAATGTAATAAGATAACATAATACAGAGATTAATACATTTTTAAAACTTTTTTAATCTTATGATTCTAAAAACGATATAGTCATAATTTTGATTTATGATCGAAAAACATAATTACGTAAAGTATATCCCACAATAAAGGATATTTTGAAAAAGGATACCAACACCAGGGTCTTGATTGCTTCTTCTTTTTACGTCCCATATTTTCTTATTAACTTTTAGCAATTGAAAATTATTAAAAAATATGCCACTAAATGTTTTACGCCCACGTAATAAGAATTTAAGTCGTAAAGTAACTGCACTGCACACACACGTAAAAATCGACGATGTAAAATGGCGACTGCATCTTTTCCGTATTTGACGGAAGGAACTGTGTGTGTGTAACCAATAGTATTACTTAAAAATTACTAGCTTATTGGAGTAAATTTTCCCTAATTAATTTCTAAAAAATATTACTGATTATTTATATTTTGTCAACATTTCTCATTTAATTAAAATAAAAAAAATAACAAATCAAATTTTTTTCTTTATAAAATTTTATATTATTTTATATTAATAAAATTTTGAACATATTGGTTTTAAATATATTTAATTTGTTAAAACAATTGTATAAACAGAAATTTATATATCATTTTATGACAATACTTTAATTTTTTATATATCTTTTAATATTTTTGCATCTTATTTATAATATTTATAATATCTAATAAATCACAAATATGTAATATATATATATATATATA